AAATTTCCTTGACTCCGTAGATGCTTTGGTCTTCTGCAATTATTCAAGAATCGATTCACCCATGCATTTACTTTTATCAATCTATTCCATTTTGAGTATCGTTTTGGATCTAATATTTCGTCAGACTTCTCTGTTACAAATAAGGCTGTTGTATCAACAGCTGTCTTCTTCATTTCCGATATTGCTTCGTCTGTTACTTGAAATTGATTATCTGGCCAAGATTCTTCAGGATTGTACAGGAAACTGGGGCCATTCCACCAACTTTCATTCTGCACCAAAGCTGTCACGGATAGTCCCCTACTCAGTAAGTCAGCAGGATTTTTCTTCGTTGGAATGTATCTCCATTGACTGTTTTCAGTTCTTGATTGAATCAATCCAACCCGATTTGCAATAAACGGCTTCAAGTTTCGACTTTGATTTCTTATCCACCACAACACATTCATACTGTCACTCCAGAATCTCACGTCTTGTAACTCCATTTTCAAAGCGTCAGCTATTTTGTCTGCCAACTTTAATCCGAGAACAGCTCCTAGCAGTTCCAGTCTTGGGATGCTTATCGATTTTAAAGGAGCAACTCTTGCCTTGGACATGATAAGACGAGAAGAATATTCCCCTGACTCGTAAACAGACTGTAGATAGGCAACTGCACCATATGCTTCACTAGATGCATCCGTAAACACATGAATGAACTGACTTGTTACTAATGACGTCGTCCTTAAGCATCTTGGAATTTGAATCAATGGCAATTTCTCCAACTCATGAAACCATGCTTTTATTTTCGTTACCACATTACCAGGAAGTTCATCATCCCAATTCAGTCCATGTAACCATAATTCTTGCATGATGACTTTGATACGGATGACATATGGCGAAATGAATCCCAATGGATCAAAGAGCGTTGCCATTTCCTTTAATAAAAAACGTTTTGTATATGTCGTACCTTCAGCTTGTTTGACAGACTTGTACGTGAACACATCTCGTTGAGCATTCCACACGATCCCAAGTGTTTTCACTGACGGTAATTCTCCAGCATCCAAGTCGATATTTTCTGCACGATCTGTCTCTGGGATGACCTTCAATACTGCTGTTGAATTCGATAGCCACTTTCTTGCATACATACCGGCTGAGTGCCAAAGTTCTGACAGTTCCGTGTATAGTTTGATACCTGCTTCGTCATCAGTCACTGAATCCATTGTGTCATCCATATAAGTTGAATCTAACACTGAGCTTGCAGCCATTGGCAATTCTTCTGCACTTCTTCTTGCATGTTCTTGTGATACAAATTGAGCTCCAAAGGGTGACGAATTTATTCCAAATACCATTCTGTTGAATTGTAACACGTCGGGCTCAGCAGTTTGATCCATGTTCCTCCACAAAATTCTTTGATACTGCCGGTCATCTGGATGTATTCCAATTTGTAAATACATTTCGGCTATGTCGCAAACCAAGGCAACTGGATGCTTCCGGAATCGCAAGAGTACTTTCACCAAATCTTGTTGAAGTTTCGGTCCTTGGTGAATTACATCATTGACAGACATGCCATTGTATTTTGCTGACCCATCGAAGACAATGCGCACCTTGGTAGTTGCTTTATCGGGACGTAGAACAGGAAAGTGTGGCAAGTACCAGCAATCTTTTCCAGGTTCTTTGTCGACTTTTTCAAGATATCCCTTTCGTAGATATTGCTGTATAATCTCATTATAGCTATTACCCAGCTGTTTGTCTTTCAAAAGTCTCTTCTCCGTGTTTGCTAATCGGTTCAAAGCCATTTCGTAATTGTCATCAAGTTTTCTTTCCTTTTTCCATGGTATTCTAATTTCATACCTTCCATCATGGTATTCCAATGAGTTCTTCACCATTTCCAGTGCTTCAATGTCTTCAGGGCACATCAATGTCTTGTCTTTTATACTTTCATCCCCTTCAATCTCCCATAACTTTCTAATCGTACTGTTTATCTTTATCAATTCTCTGTCGTCTTTTGGTGACATCACAAAGTTGGTTGAAATAACTTGCCCATTGCAATCACCTACACAAGTCCACCCAAGTGGTGTCAGCCGGGCCACTGGTTCATTTGCTTTCCCCTTTACCTCTCTCTGTGCACAGTGAAGATCAGCATGGTCCACACCAATTAAGATGTCAATCGTTGGCTTTGGTCCAACACTGGGAAATTTGATATCTTTTAAATGCTTCCAGTTGTTTGCCATTTTTACCCAATTGACAGCTCTCAGATTGCCTGTAACTCGGTTGACTGTTAATGCCTGGATCTGCGTTTTCAGCTTTCCATCCAAGGACTCAAGTTGAAATTCAACTGGCATTGTCTCAAGAGAATCAGCTACACCATTAAGCATACTGACTGTTACATTTTGCCGTTCACCTTTCAAGTCCAGTTCTGTTGCCACATCGCTATTTAGATAGGTTTTCGTGCTTCCATCATCTAACAGAGCGTTAACCACAATCTTCTTATTGCCATTCTTTAAAACAACTGGAACAGTTCTTAGTGACACAAACTTTACTTCATCTTGTTTTTCTTTAGACAATGTTGAAGTATGGGAACTTTCAACTGACTCCCCCTCATGCCCTTTCTCAGTTTCTCTTGTCTTTACTTTGTCAACCACATCCTCTTTGTTCTTGTGAAGGAGACGATTATGTGTATCAGTGCACCCGTCGATACCACAAATTCGACTATTTCTGCATGCTCTTGCCAGGTGGTTGCTTCTCAAACACTTAAAACAAAGCTTCTGCTTCTTTGCAATTTCCCATCGCTGGTTCACTTTTTTGCTTTTGAAGGCACTGCAGTCCCATATCATATGATCATTTTGACAAACGTAGCATTTCCTCAAGAATTTCAACTTCTTTGATCGGTCATCTGCTCCAAAGAATGAACTGCTAGAGTTTTTGGGTCTTGTAACCATGTTCTTATGAAAGCCGTGAATTGTTTCTGCGGCTGCTACTTGAAATTCTGCTTCCTCAATAATAAACTGTCGCAGCGTTTCAACATCTTCATTCTTTTGATGCTCGTAAACCCAGCGCTTAAATCTTGACAGCATTTTCTCAGTCATTTTTCTCAACAACTTGTGGTACAAAGTTCCACTACCAAGTTCTTCTGTTCGTTTTGCTTCACGAAGGTTAGTAACTGCTACATCCAATAAGTCTGCGAACCTTTCTATATCTCTCGGATGATCTTCTCTGATAGGTTTGAAGTTGTCCAGTTCGTCCAGGTAGATCATCACTTTCCGTCTTGTCCCACCATATTTTCTTTCAAGTCTTTCTTTTGCTGCTTCATAGGCGAATGCTGAATGACCCAGACCATCAATTGCACTAAGCGCTTCGCCAGAAAGATATTGACGCAGTTGTAGTAGCTTGTATTCAGCAGTAGCAGGTGCTTGATCTATACAGGCTGTAAATGCTGCCTTCCACATCTCATACGTCTTTTTGTCACCATAAAACACTGGAATTGACACTCGTTTTAGCTGTTTCCACAGATCTTGTCCAATATCTGCAGCTTTACTGTTAATATGCCTTGCACTTTGAGCCTCTTGTTCGTATACATTACGATTATATGCATTTACACAAGGTCTTTCTATCATAAAACTTGCCGTTTCATTATCAGCTTCTCCATGGCCCATACCAAGTTCCGTTTCGATCTCTGTTTCAAGCTGCTGATGACATTGCTTTGTCTTTTTTGAAGCTTCTTGTAGCTTTCTTTTTTGGGCTGCCAGTTCTTGTTCTAGCCTGGTCTTTTCAGCTCTGTAATTTTCTTCCAATTGTTGTTGCTTTTGTCGCAGTATATGTTCCTTAGCCTGGAGCTCTTCTCTGACACGTTTTTCTTGTTCACGGGCTCTAGCTTCACTGACGTAGAGCTGACTCATCTTACTTGACACTCTTGTCCCAATGCTGGATCCATCTCCTTTGTGACTTGCGAGATACCCATTTGCATCTTTCATGATTTTTTCAAATTCGTTATTAATCTCTTCAATCTCGTTGTTGATGAGTTCTACATTCTCATTATCATTAAATTTTTCGTATTGATGTGATAGTTCAACAAGCACGTTGATTACCTGTTCTTGTTGATCAGACAACTTTGCTCTCAGGCTTCGTACTTCATTTTGACTAGATAACTCATCTTCGGCAATGGACTCGATTAGTTGATGCTTGATGCGAGTGAACGATGATTTTTCCACAGCTTTCTTCCTTTTCAGTTTCGATATTTCAGCTCGAAAATTCATTGATTGTTCGTCTTCCTCTAATTCTTTATTCTTCTCTTTACGGCCCTTCTTTTTTCCAGCCATTTTCCTCTAATGATTATCATTAACGACTTGAACTCAACTACCCTCTGCTACCAAATTATGATCCGAAGATTGATCATAGAAAAATAACTCTCCGATTATGAGAGCAATAATAAGTCTTAATAATAATCGTCTATCGTCGAAGAGCGTAAAGACTAACTATCGAACTAACTAATACTACTACTCAAATGCTACTTTTATACATTTTAAATGGAAAGTTCCAGAATAAACAAGAAATCACGGGAATTAATAGGTCAAGCAGTTACAAAGGAATGCCGCTTTACGAATTACAAAGGAATGACGCAATATTTCTATAATTAGTTCATTACGAAGCTTATTGTTCTTTTTTATAAAGTGTCTACTCAGCATGTCTAATATCTTTATTGTTTTTTCTGTCAATGCGTTCATAGTCGCAGCAGGATGCCAGCGTTCTAGAAGTTTCGAGTCGTTTTCTTCTGTCC